CAGCAGAATTGCCAGGTCAAAAGGCAGTTCCATTTTTTAGTTTTGTGAAGAAATTCCATACTGTTTTCCACACTGGCTGCACTGCTCTACATTCCCACCAATAGTTCAACAGGGTTCCTTTTTCTACACAACCTCTGCAACACTTGTTTGTTGATTTGCTTATGATGGCCATTCTGAGTGGTGTGAGGTGGTATGTCATTGTGGTTTTAATTTGCATCTCTCATGGCTACTGATGCTGAGCATCTCTTCATATGGCTCCGGGCCCCTCTGTATGTCCTCCCAGGAAACATGTCTGTTCAGGTCTTTTGCCCATTTTTAAAATTTGGTTGTTTGTCTTCCTAGAGTGGAGTCATGTGAGTTCTTTATATATTTTGTAGATCGAACCCTTGTCAGAGGTATCATTGGCAAGTGTGTTTTCTTATACAGTTAGTTCTCTTTTCATTCAATGTTTTTTTTCTTTGACCATGCAGAAGCTTTTTAATTTGATAAGGTGCCATTTGTTCATTCTTTCCTTTGTGTCCCTTGCTCTAGGGGACATATCAGTAAAAATGTTGCTGTGTGGAGTATCTGAGATTTTCCTGCCTATCTTTTCCTCTAGGACTTTATGGTGTAGCAACTTATTTTAAATATTTTATCCATATTGAATTTATTTTTGGGTGTGGTGTAAGTTGGTGATTGAGTTTCATTTTTTTGCATGTAGCTGTCCAGCTCTCCCAACACCATTTATTGAAGAGGCTGTTTTTACTCCATTTTATGCTTTTGCCCCCTGTGTCAAATATTAATTGACCAGAGAGACTTGTGTTTATCTCAGGGCTCTCAGATCTGTTCCATTGGCCTGTGCCTCTGTTCTTATGCAGTACCAGACTGCTTTGATTATAGTGGCCTTGTAATACAGTTTGATATCAGGTATTGTGATAACCCCTGCTTTGTTCTTTCTCAAAATTGCTAAAGCTATCGAGGTCATTCATAGTTCCATATAAATTTTTGAAATGTTTTTTCTATATCTGCAAAATATGTCATTAGTACTTTAACAGGGATTGTGTTGAATCTATAAATTGCTTTGGGTACTATGGACATTTTGATGATGTTAATCCTTCCAGTCCATGAAAAGGGTACATGCTTCCATTTGTTTGTGTCTTCCTTAATTTCTTTCTTCATTGTTGTATAGTTTTCTGAACACAGGCCTTTTACCTCCTTGGCTAGGTTTATTCCTAGGTACTTTATTTTTCTTCTTGGTATATAGCACATGGGTATTTTTTCCTGATTTCTGTTTCTGATATTTCATTCTTGGTGTACAAAAATGCCTTTGATTTCTGAATATTGTCATTGTATCCTGCTGTTTTGCCAAATTCGCTTATTAGGCAAAGCAGTTTTCTTGTGGAATCTATAAGATTTTTTGTGTATACCATCATGTCATCTGCAAACAATGATAGTTTTGCTTCCTCCTCTCCGATTTGGATGACTTTTATTTCTTTTTCTTGTTTGATTGCTGTGGCTAGGCCTTCCAAAACTGTGTTGAATAGAAGTGGTGAAAGGAGAAATCTTTGTCTTGTTCCTGATCTTAGCAGAAAGCTTTTAGGTTTTGCCCATTGCATATGATGTTTGCTGTAGGTATCTCATATATGGCCTTCATTATGTTGAAGAAACCTCCCTCTGTTTCCACTGTGCTGAGTGTTTTTATCATAAGTGGGTGCTGTACCTTATCAAATGCTTTTTCCGCATCTATTGCTGTGATCATGTGATTTTTGTCTTTCATTTTGTTTTTGGGATGTGTTACGTTTCTTGATTTGTGAATATTGTATCATTCTTGCATCCCTGGAATGAATCCCACTTGATCATGGTGTATGATCTTTTTAATGTATTGGTGGATGTGGTTTGGAAGGCAATTCTTATTAAATGACAAAAACCTTAGCCATGTGAGCAGATAGATTTAACTCATTTCAGCTGCTTCTTTCTAAGTGAATGTTTTGATAGAAATTATTAAATACCTAGATTTTTAAGGGAACACAGAATACTAACACATTGATTTCTGGACATATCTTACGTTCACCCCCTGATTATTACAGACTGGCTACAACACACATTTGAGCTGTTAATGAATGTCTCATACATTACTAGAGGTATGTTTCTTAAAAAGTGTGAGTGTGGTTGCCAGTGGAGGACCCTGCATGTGTAAAAGTTATGCATTGTATTTTCCAATATGAAAAATGCCAACTGCTTACATTTTACTTGTCACTAAAACTCCAGGTTTCTAGACATTAAAAATCTATTAAATTTTAAAGAAATTGTGTGACTTTGGTAGTAGAAGGTGTAACATGTAGAGACGTATTTTTGGAAAAGTAGAAAAAAGAGTTTTTCTAAAACTGGTTGTTTCTTGTTTTTCTATTTGTCTTGCTTTTTAACACTGGTCATTTCTCAGGAAGCCAAAAGAGATGAACTTAAAGGAAATAAGAAAGTTGTAAAAGGTCTGTGAGAGGAAATCTTGAAAGTCCTGTGGTTAAGATGAACAATGAATTCAATTAAATAAATGGAGTTAAATATCAAAAGTAAGCTAATACAGACTTGCAGCTTGGTTCATTTTCACTCTGTTAGAAGGACAAGCACTGTTCATGTGCTTTCCAGATGTAAATAAACTATTTTTTCTTAAAACAATTTGATAAATAATACCTTCATGATCATTATTAAGCCTTTATGGCACCTCTGAAGGTATATTATTACTTCAATGGCAATATGATTGTTTGCATGAACCCAATAACTATCTGTTCTCTTGATGATAAGACACATAGAACCAGTTTCCAGTGGTGGTTTTAATACAGAATTTTGACTGCACTGTCACGTTTAGGGACATGTGCAGACTGTGGTTGCCACCATAAAGCTTTAAGGAATTAGGATTGACTTGGGAAGGCAATGAAAACCCTATGGAGAAACATCATGGTACATTGCTTATTCACATGGTCATGGCCATCTTTCCAGGTAAAGCAAACGTTCCTTTCGTGGAAGAAGGCATTGAAAAGAACATCAAGACATGATGGGGGACCTGCAGAACTTCAGCAATTGACCTGAACTCACAGTATTCTGGAAAAGTCTGCTGGCAATTAGGTGGCTGAGCTCCTTTGCATTGGGGGCCTAATTAGAGCTCAACCTGTGGATTCCATAAGAGATTTCAGCAAAGAAGACTCCAGAGACCCTATATGGTCAATGCTATTCTTGTTACATTTATGCAGATAATTTAATAAGGCAGTATAAATTGCCCTTAATCTGGCTCTGTGATTAAAATTAAGGTGATTGTAGGGGGCAACTGTGCATTAGTAGACTATAATATATAGTTGTGAATATTATACTCCAGTTTTATTTGCTACCTGTAAACTGAACAATACCCTAAAATGTTCTAGCTTTCACAAATAGCCCTCAAAATTAATACTTCATTTTTTCCTCTCATCATTTCACTTAGAATTATTGAGAAGTAAAAGGTTTTTCCTTCCATCGAACCATTCATCATAGTTCTTGTCATTATAGTTTCTGCCTCCATAGTATTGAGATTTGTGACACAGTTTGTGTCCATTGGGGTACAACAAGCCCTCCTTGTACTCAGAGAATACCACCCCTTGCTGACTCTGGACACCATCTCAACCTCCTTCCATGCCCAGGCCTCGTTCCTCTGACAGAAAGCAAGGATCTCTGTCATCCCTCTTCAGCAGGAAGAAGCTACAGAAGAGACTCTACAACTCTTTTCCCTGAAAGATTCAGGGCCAAGAATTCTTGAGACAGGAATGTGGTAGGCAGCTAGACAGACATGAGCAGAACAAGGGCAATAGGCCAGATATGAAAGGTCACCAGGGCAGAAAGCCTCAAGCAGTGGGCAAAACTGGGAAAGTAATGATCTCATCCCCAGAGTAACCTTCCCTCCCCCAGCATATTGCTGGCCATGTGGTTTAGACCCCCTGATCTTGCTTAAAATTGTGTAAAAATGGAAAATATATAGACTCCGACCTTCAGGCATCCCAGCTCTGGGAGGCTTGCTCACCTTCAACTGTGGAGGCAGGATGAGGTGAAGATAAGAAAATGTAGTGTAGCAGTGATTTGGATCCTGGATGACTACAGGGGAGACCCATAAAACCTAGAATGTATTTGTAAAGGTTTTTCTACATTTACATGTTTAAACGTCAGTCACCTTCAAAGTACTCTTCATTAGATGCAGTACACCTATTGAGACTTTTTTGTACTACGGAAAACGGTTATCGAACTCATCAATATTGGTGCCTTTTAGTGCTTCTTCCATTTTTTTGTCTCACCTCTTGCACATTGGCAAAATGTTTTTCCACCTTTTTGCATTCAGAGAAATGAATAAATGTGACTTGGGATAGATCAGGTGAGTAGGGAACGTGAGGAGTTTGGGGTCTTACTGTTTTGGTCAAAAATTGCTGAACACTCAGAGGCGTGAGGGCAGGTGCCTTTGTAAATCACCCATCGGGAACTGGGAAAACACACTGAAAGAGACTTACTTAAAAAAAATTCACTGAATTTGAATCTAGCCTCTCACAACAGTGCCAGCTGGTGCACTGATTCAGATGGGTTTCTAGAACTTGCCTAGTTGGGGAAGCCTGTGCTACAAGGGCCTGTTCTCCAGAAGATGGTTCTGGGTAGTTTCTGGCTTGTTGGAGCCCAAGAGGCCTGTGAGGGATCGAGGATAGGGTCTAGCACTGCGGGTGTGGTGACTGGGCCTGGTTTCCGGCCTCGGGGCTATCTTGGGTTGTAACAGTTCTCTGACCCCTTGAGAAACTAGCCGCCTCTCCCAGCAACTCATATCTTTGGCCTGTGCATCATGTACCAAGAAAGTATGTTAGCTTGGGAACGTCCGGACTCTAAGGGAAGAGATAAACTTTGTAGGTCAAGGAAGTGAGCTACGTGCCAGAAGGCTTCTCCTTTGTTCTCCTTTGTATCCAAGATTGTATATAAGCCAGAAGATTGCGCAATAAACTTGCTTTATGCCAGCAGAGCATTTGGTCCTCTCCTTTATTTCAGTCCCTCGCTCAGCCTCACGACCACCCTTGCCGCAGCGGGCTGCGGCAGAGTGGCGCCCGGAACAGGGACCTGAAGAGTCCAGAATCGTGAGGATTTGAGATCCCGAGAGGACCGCTGCTACGGGGGCCCGGTAAGGTAAAAGTGAAAGTAGCAGGGAGCGGTGTTGGAGAGCATAATAATGGGGAATTCCCACTCTTCCGAAAGGGAGTTGTTTGAACAAGTATTGTGCACCCTATTAAGGGGGACGAGGTGTCACAACCTCTAAGGGGCAAATCCATCGTTTTGTGGATTTTGTCCAACAAGTATGTCCTTGGTTTCCTATAGAGGGAACGATTAATATTAATACTTGGAGGAAGATTGGGAAGTCAATAGATGGTTTCTCCCCCGAGAGACAGATTTTCCCTGTCCTTCAGAGGCAGAATGATCAGGGCCAACAGTGGCGAGATTATGAGCCTATTCCTTACAAGACCTTGAAGGAGTTAAAATTAGCCTGTGCCCAATATGGGGCTACGCCCCCCTTCACCATTGCTACCATGGAAACTATCGCGAGCCTTGCTCTTCCCCCCGCAAGATTGGAAAACTATGTGTAAGGCAGTGTTAACTGGGGGTGATTATTTGTTATGGCTTGCTGAATATCACGAGAGCTGTGAGCGACAAGCTAGGTCTGAAGTTGCTCGCAGGCTTGGAATAACATGAGAGGCAGCTAGAAAGCTGGTGCAGGAGCAGCTTGCTGCCGGACATATTGAACCTTCCACGTCACCATGGAATTCTCCTATATTTGTTATCAAAAAGAAGTCAGGAGAGTGGAGGCTCCTTCAAGATTTGAGAAGAGTAAATGCTTCCATGTTCCCCATGGGTGCGTTGCAGCCTGGACTTCCATCTCCTGCTGCCATCCCTCCATCTACTTATAAGATTGTGGTTGACTTAAAAGACTGTTTTTATACTATTCCACTGTTCTCTTCTGATTGTCAGCGATTTGCTTTTAGTGTTCCCTCCACTAATCTTCGGGAACCAATGTTAAGATTTCAATGGAAAGTTTTGCCTCAGGGTATGGCTAATAGTCCTACCTTGTGTCAGAAGTTTGTGCAACAAGCTATTCAGGGAACACGAGATGAGTTCCCCTCAGTTTTAGTCATTCATTATATGGATGATATCTTGCTAACGCATTCCAATCATGACCTCTTGATTTTAGCATTTTCTAGGATGAAACAAGACTTAGCCGTTTTCGGTCTGCAAATAGCAGCTGATAAGATCCAAAATGCTTACCCTTACTCCTATCTTGGATACCAACTTAAGCCCCTAACTTTTTCGCCTCAAAAATTGCAGATTGATACTTCTCACCTACGGACTTTGCATGATTTTCAGACCCTACTAGGAGAAATCAACTGGATACGCCCATCTTTGAAACTTACCACCGGCAACCTTAAGCCTCTTTTTACTTTACTTAACGGAGATTCCAGTCCTGCCTCTCCTCGAGTGCTCACCCCGAGCGCACGGCAGGCCCTACGACTGGTGGAAGACGCTCTTCAGTCCGCCCAATTGTCTTACTGTGATGTTTCACAACCTTGGTCCTTGTTAATAATACCTTCTTCTATCGCCCCGACAGGAGCTCTCTACCAGCATGGGGTACTCCAGTGGATTCACGGCCCAGCAACGCCAAAGAAGGCGCTTGCCTCTTATGCCTCGTTGGTAGCCAAGCGAGTTCAGCAGGGACGCAAAGTGTCTATCCAAATCTTAAGACGAGACCCTCCTGTTATAGTCATACCATATACTTCCGAGCAGTTTTCCTGGCTAATGAACACGAATGATTCTTTTCCATTGGCCTTTGAAGGCTTTTCAGGACAGGTCTCTCATCATTTCCTGAAAGACAAGATTTTGCATTTCGCCTCTCAAGCCCATTTTATCTTTCCCAGAAATCTCTCCCTCATCTCTTTGACTTCCGCCGTCAATTTATTCACAGATGGTTCATCTAATGGACGCGCTGTTCTAATCACCCCGGAAAAATCCCAGGTTTGGCAGGTCGCCTCCAATTCTGCTCAAGAAGTCGAACTCTTTGCTGTTCATCAGGCCTTCCTCCTTATCCCTGGACCTTTTAATCTTTACTCTGACAGTCAATATATTGTCCATGCATTAACTGTTTTGGAAACTGTCCCTTTAATCACAACTTCTAATCGTATGGTTCTCCAGTTATTCCACTCCATCCAGCAATTGCTTCGACAGCGAAAAGCCCCCTGCTTTGTTGGTCACCTTCGGGGACATTCATCTCTTCCAAGACCTTTGATGACATCGAATGCGCTCGCAGACTCCCATACTCACGTCTTTCTTTCGCAGCAGCAAGGTGCTCAACAATCCCATGCCCTTCACCACCAATCTGCCCGATCTCTTCGGTATCAATTTCAGCTTACCCGAGAGGCGGCACAACAGATTGTTAAGTCGTGCTCCACCTGTTCTCAGCTGCTTCCAGTGCCCCATTTTGGTGTTAACCCCCGAGGTCTCAAGCCTAATGATCTCTGGCAAATGGATGTTACACATTGCCCCTCCTTTGGCACACTTCGATATCTACATGTCACTATTGATACTTGTTCTCATTTCCTTTTTGCCTCCCCTTTATCAGGCGAAAACGTTCGCAACGTAATCTCTCATTTACTATCTTGCTTTTCAGTACTTGGTATCCCCAAAATTTTGAAGACCGACAACGCCCCTGCCTATACCAGTAAAGCCTTCACCTCTTTCTGTACTTCCTTTCAAATCCTTCATAAAACAGGTATCCCTCATAACCCTCAAGGACAAGGAGTCATCGAACGAGCGCACCTTTCTCTCAAACAACAATTTACTAAACTAAAAGGGGGGAGATGATATAGCCCCCACTCTCCAAAACTGCTTGTATCTCATTCCTTATTTGTTTTAAATTTCTTAACTTTAGATTCGGATGGGCGCTCTGCGGAGGACAGACACTGGGGGCCGCGCATGCGGCACTACCCTCAAGTATTTTGGAAAGACCCCATAGATGGGTCTCGGCATGGCCCTGACCCGGTACTAGTTTGGGGCCGAGGGCATGTTTGTGTTTTTCCCACAGACGCTGAGTACCCACGGTGGTTGCCCGAGAGGTGTGTCCGCCATGCCCAAGAGCAAGATAAAGAAGCTCCAGAGAAGACTCGCGGTCATGTTACTGAGGAACTGGAGAGCCCAGAGGAGACTCCAGCGGTTAGCGCTGATCTTGAGCCTCCTGTGGATACTGAAAACTCAAGTGAAGGCTGAAGAATACTGGGCCTTTCTTCCCAATCCTCCCGTCCTGCATCCAGTTACTAGGGAGGACAATGATTTTGTGCCTGTATATGTGAACAATACCCAGGTCTTAGGCCCGCCATCTTCCAGGCATATCTTGCCCGTGTCAGCTAAGTATAATTATACCGGCTTGTCTACTACTCAACCCATTTGCTTTTCTTCGACCCCAAGAAATTGTACTCTTATCTCCAGATATGCTGATTGGGATGGTAATTTCACTGATGGACCTCACTGGGGTGTGGACATGCTTTATCTTCATAGAAATGTGAGCACCACTACTATTGGCCAGGGGTCCCCTCCTCCTGACATCCCGGTATGCAAGCAAAGAACGCCCTCTCAGAGCCAGTGGGGCCCGGCATGGAGAATTTGTCATCTCAACCATACCGTTTGTGATCAAGGGATTTGTGACTGGAGTGATTACCGAGAAGGGACCTACAGGCCCATGAACCTGCTGTATGGAATATAGACAAAGAATAATCGGACCTATCAGACTATGCTTTGGAAGGCTGTCGCCTCCCTCCAATATGTCACCGTAGCCAAGAGACAAGTAGTTTGGATGCATATAGGAACACAAGACGCTATCTCCATAGACGGAACCCAGAAAAATGTATCTGTCATAGCTTGTGTACCTGACCCCTTCGCGTTTATTGCAGGGAATTTGCAGCTTGCTCAGAATACCATGTATAATCTAACCTGACACGATTGCATTTTAACCAATTGTCTTAATTCCTCCTTGAATGTAAGCGCCTTTGCTGTTGTTAAACAGCCCGCCTTTTCTTTTGTTCCTGTTAACCTCACTATTCCCTGGTTCAATGATCCTGGTTACGCTGTCATTCGAGCAGCTAATGAACTTATATTAGCTCGCGCCAAACGCTTTGTTGGAATGCTAATTACAGGAATAGCTGCCCTTATAACTCTTATAGCCACGGCCGCCACGGCTACTATTGCCCTAACAGAAGGAATTCAGACAGCGAATTTTGTTAATGAATTGTCTCATAATATTTCTGTAGCTTTTCAGACTCAGGAAGATTGGGATCGGAAGATAGAACAAAAGTTGAATGCCCTCTATGACACCGTCAGAGTCGTAGGGGAAGAACTGAATTCTCTTGAAGTTCGGTCCTCATTGAAGTGTCATGCCATGTTTTCTCACATTTGTGTTACCCCCTTCCTTTACAATTCTACCACTTTTCCTTGGAATAAGATACGTAACCATTTATTAGGTATTTGGCATAACTGCAATACTTCCTTAGATCTTGCTGCCCTACACAAGGAAATCCGAGACCTGACAGTAGCACCCCCTATAGATGTCGATATTGCTCGAGACGCTCAGAATTTTCTGTCAGCCTTAGCTAAGCAGTTCCCTACCTTTAACCAGCTCATGTATAATTGGATTGGTGTTGGAATCTTTATACTCTTGATCCTCTTGCTGATACCCTGTGTTATTCGAGTTTTTGTAAGCCAAATGAACGACTTATATGTCGACCTGAAGCGGCAAAAATTGGATATGACCAAAAACGAAATTCCACTATGTTATATAAAGTAAAAAAGGGGGAGATGTTGGAGCCCAAGAGGCCTGTGAGGGATCGAGGATAGGGTCTAGCACTGCGGGTGTGGTGACTGGGCCTGGTTTCCGGCCTCGGGGCTATCTTGGGTTGTAACAGTTCTCTGACCCCTTGAGAAACTAGCCGCCTCTCCCAGCAACTCATATCTTTGGCCTGTGCATCATGTACCAAGAAAGTATGTTAGCTTGGGAACGTCCGGACTCTAAGGGAAGAGATAAACTTTGTAGGTCAAGGAAGTGAGCTACGTGCCAGAAGGCTTCTCCTTTGTTCTCCTTTGTATCCAAGATTGTATATAAGCCAGAAGACTGCGCAATAAACTTGCCTTATGCCAGCAGAGCATTTGGTCCTCTCCTTTATTTCAGTCCCTCGCTCAGCCTCACGACCACCCTTGCCGCAGCGGGCTGCGGCACCTGCTACCTCCTCATAAATCAAGATGATAAACATCAGTCCATCACCATCCTTTTGGGAATAGAATGTGTTCATCTGCATGTATAGAACTTTTCAACCTTCTTTGAACACCTTTTTCTGTTCCCCTCTCTGTCCTTATAAAACGCTCTTCCTCCAATGAGATGTGCAGGTCGACTTTGTGGCACGAGTCCCCCAACTTCCAGATGGCCAGCATCTAAAAAAACTCCCAAATTTTGCAGTGCATATTGTGCACTTTTTTGCCCAAATGTTTGAGGGAAAAATAAGGATGCGCATTAGAGATGGGTAGTACTAATTCCGTATCTATATAAATGTTTTTAATTCTTATATTTATGCGTATGTGTTAAAGAGTGTAACTCTAGAAAGCAAAAACAACACCCAGATGGAGAATAATAAACTGGAATATGATAATCAGTTTTATCTATGAAAGACTGTTTTCCTAAAGTTTTGGCCATAAATGTGGGTGTGCCTTACACACGGCCCAATGATATTTTCCTTTATATCAGCTCCCAGTTCTCGAGTATTGGCTTTCGTACTAGCAGGAAGCTGGACGTGTGTTCAGTTACAGTTTTTGATGACTCCAGATGGTAAAATGGGGACTCTGGTAAGGCCCAGAGCACCTCGGCTGGAGTCTCAGCTGACCTGCATCCGGTTACACACTTTGGCGATTCAGTTGGGACTAAGTAGGAACCAGAAGGCACAGAGGACCTTGTGTGGAGTCCCAGCTGCCTGTGGCAGGCTGACCCCTTGGCAAGTATTGCAGGACTTTCTTTGCAGCTGCCAAGATTTCTTATGTTGGGGACTGTCCCTGTGTTAGGCCCGGAATTAGATAAAAGTAGCCAAGAGGAACCCAAGGCAGGCTCCAGACTGCCTCAGCAAGGAAGATAGAAAGTACAGAAAGTACAAAGAGTTCTGAACAAGATAAACCGCCTATGCATGACCTTGTCTTTGCATGACCTTGTCTTTGCAGAAAAGTATCCATTGTTGCAAGCAGAGAGCATAGCCATGTGTGTTCTCTCGAGATAGCCAATTGCTAACAGCTATGTCTGCTTCTGTATTTGCTTGCTTGCTTGCTTGCTTGCTCACCCCAATAAAAACCCTAGGCTGTAAGCGCCAGGCACGACTTTCATTTGCAGCCATCTTGGCACCGTGTCTCCGGACACCCCGAGAGTTCTCCCCTGCGCAGGTAAAGCTTTGGCCAATAAAGTTCCATCTTAAACCCCTGAAAGCTTCCGACCATTTGTTGCTTGCGTTGGTGGATGCCACATTTTGGAGGCCCTAGCGAGATCTCCCTTGGAGGAGTTTTGGGTCAGAAGCCGGAGGGACAGCTCCAGCTGAATAAGTAACTGCAGTGGCGAGGATCCTCTTTGGTATTGGGCTCTAGAGCGATACCCTGAGGTGGTAGGCGGGACGCTGCCGAGTCCACCCAGGGGCCCAGCAGACTGGACGCCGTACTGGGTGTAGTTTTGGTTTCTGAAAATGTGACCGGTCACTATTAGGTATTACTTTCGGTTTACACAGCACTGTGCAGAGCTCTCGTCTGGCAAGCTCCCTCCCGGCACAGGCCCTCCTGGCTTGGCTCACGTGGCACGCTGTGTGTGTTTGTATTGTAACGGATGTGTTTGCATCGGTCTTTGCTTTTGTGTCTTGTTTGTGATTCTTGTTTCTGAGCTCCTGAAGGTCTTACAGGCATCAGAGATGGGGGCAGAGCGGGTCGGTATTGAGATCCAGCACACCCCAAGACTGCTTACTCAACAACTTCTCGGACTTCCAGCGGCGCGCAAACGGCTATGGTGGACCACCACCAGATCCTGAGTTCCTCAGGACACTAAGCCAGATAGAGTGGCCTACATTTAATGTGGGTTGGCCCACCGAAGGGACGTTTGACCTGTCCATATTTTTTGCAGTCTGAGCCACTGTGTACAGGGTGCCCCACCCTGACCAGTACCTGTATATAGATATCTGGGTCGACATAGCCACCAAGCAGCCTGGGTACATCAGGAAATGCATGCAGGGGAACAAACAGGGAGGGGGAAGGAGGGCTATCTGCCTAGCTGCAGGGGGAGGGAGCGCGCAGGGAGGACGGTGCGAATCATGCAATAAGATGGCCTCTGAGCAGCCCTCCACGCCCCCATCCGGTAGACAGAGGTTATACCCTGTCTTGACCGGGCCACCGGAGGACCTTATCGACCCAGTGAATGCCCCTCCACCCTACCATCGGAAGGAGGAGCCCGATACCACAGGGAGAAGGGAAAATGAGCCCCTCAGCCCTCCGCACACTCGGAGCGGAGCGGCGTTCGGAGAGAAGGGGGAACCACACCCCGGCGGGGCCGCCATTGTACCACTCAGGGAGGCACCTCCGGGGCCAGATGCGCCACCCCGGGCACCCCCGAGGTTAATTTATGTCCCCTTATGTACTAGTGATTTATATAATTGGAAACATCAGAACCCACCATTTTCTGAGAAACCTCAGGGATTAATCTCCCTCCTTGAAACCATATTCAGAACCCACCAGCCCACTTGGGATGACTGCCAACAAATTTTACAGACCCTGTTTACTTCAGAAGAAAGGGATAGAATAATCATGGAAGCAGCGAAAGCAGTGCTGGGGAGGGAGGGAGACAAGGCGGCAGGGAGGAGAGAATTAGAGACCATCTTACCCACCCAGCCGCCTGCATGGGACCCCAACACCTCTGGGGGAAGGGACGCGCTCCTCCAATACCACCGGGCTCTATTGAGAGGATTACAGGCAGCTGCCAGGAAGCCCACCAATTTCAGTAAAGTTAGTGAAGTAATTCAAGGCAGGGAAGAGTCCCCCTCAGTGTTCCTAGAAAGACTCATGGAAGCGTACAGGGTTTACACCCCTCTAGATCCTGAGGCAGAAGAGAATAGGAGGCTCATCAACATAGCATTTGTGACGCAGGCAGCCTTGGATATAAGGAAAAAGTTACAGAAGATAGAGGGTTTTGAGGAAGAGAATAGGAGCAAGCTCCTGGAAATTGCTCAGAAGATGTATGTTAATAGGGATGACCCAGAGGTAGGGCGAGCGAAGGAGGTAGCACAGATCTTGATTGCGGCGCAGAAGCCCCCAGCCAAAGGAAAAGGGGGGCAGCGGAGGGGGCGGGGGCACCCGCCGGACAAAGATCAGTGTGCGTTTTGCAAAGAGAAAGGACACTGGAAGCAGGACTGCCCAAAACTGAAAGCTGCCAATCAAAGGCAGTGGCAGCAAGGCCCAGAGGTCTTGCTCCAGACTCTCGACTGAGGGGGCCAGGGCTCCATCTCTGTTGGCTCCCAAGAGCCCATGGTCACCTTGAATGTTGAAGGAAAGCCTATAGATTTCCTAGTTGACACGCGAGCTGCCTTCTCCGATTTAAAGCAGCCGCAGAGACAAATTCAGAAGGCCACCACCAAAATAGTCGGGGCAACAGGAAAGGCGGAAGCTTACCCATGGGCCACCGCCAGGATCACCGACCTAGGGAAAGGAACCATCACCCATTTGTTCCTCGTAATCCCGGACTGCCCATATCCACTATTGGGAAGGGACTTACTGCAGAAGTTTCAGGCCACTATTACCTTTAAGCCGGAAGGAGGTGCCCTGAGTGACCAGGAAGACATTAGGGTGAGCCTAGAAGTGACTG